CACTCACCTCAGCCTCCCAAAGGCGCGGGATTACAGGCTGAGCCACCGAGCCCGGCTTCCTTTTTCTTTTTCTTCGAGTTGGAGTCTCACTCTGTTGCCCAGGCTGCAGTGCAGTGGTACGCTCACGGTCAACTCAGCCTCAACTTGCTAGGCTCAGGCGATCCTTCTGCCTCAGCCTTCCACATAGCTGGAACTATAGGCACACGCCACCATGCTCGGTTAATTTTTTGATGTATTGTAGAGATGAGGTCTCGCCAAACTGCCCAGGCTGGTTTCGAACCCGTGAGCTCAGGTGATCCTCTCACCCTCAGCCTCCCAAAGTGCTGGGATTATAGGTCTGAGTCACCATGCCTGGCTTCTACTTGGTCTTTTAAAGACTGATTTCCCTGAGTCTAACCAATCTGACCATTGGTATAGGCAGCCTAAATTCATCTCCTACACTCATCTCAGCCGTTCACAACTCAGTTTTGTCTTGGTTTGGTCTTTCCTTCTTTGCAATTTCCTTTTATACCTTAGTAAACCAATGTTTTTCAATCTGATACTAAAATTTTAATGTCATGTCTGAAATATTCCCAATAGTCCCCAGCAGAGTACATCGCTTCACATCTGCTCTCTGAGACCAGAGATTTTCTCCCACTTATTTTTCTGAAGTTTGTTTTCTAAGGCAGTTCTCCAGAATAGTGAGTCTCAATAACTGTCTACAGAAGGACATTCCCCACTGTTGAGGACACACAAGATTCTGCTTATGGTTTTTAATTACAGTTTATAAAACTAATAGCCATCTGGTCATGGTGGATCATGGCTGTAAACCCAGCACCATGAGAGGTAAGAGGATTGCCTGAGCTCTGGGGTTCGAGACCAGCCTGGGCAACTTGGTAAGACCTCATCTCTATAATAAATAAAAAAATTAACCAGGTGTGGTGGTGCATGCCTGTGGTTCCAGCTACTTGAAAGGTAAGGTGGAAGGATCACCAGAGCCCAGCAGGTTGAGGCTGTGGTGGCCATGAGTGTGCCACTGCATTCCAGCCTGGGAGATGGAGTGAGACTGATTCAAAAACAAAAAAACAGGCCAGGCTCAGTGGCTTAGCCTGTAATCCTGGCACTTTGAGAGGCCAAGGAGAATGGAGTGCCTGAGCCTGAGGGTTCGAGATCAGCCCAGGCAACTTGGTGAGACCTCGTCTCTACGATAAATCAAAAATTAGCTAGGCGTGGTAGCATGCGCCTGTAGTTCTGGATACTTGGAAGGCTGAAGCAGAAGGATTGCCAGAGCCCAGCAGGTTGATGCTGGGGTGGCCGTGAGTGTGCCACTGCATTCCAGCCTGGGCATTGGAGTGAGATTCCAACTCAAAATAAAAAACAAAAACAAAAAAAACATCCTGTGAGTAATGCTAAGTCTTTAGGTTAAAGGTTTCAAATAGACTTTTTCAAACTGTCTAGTTATTAAGAGCTAGAAATGACTATGGTCCCTCCTAATCCACATTCCTTATTTTATAGATTAGAAAACATGCAGAGAGATGAAATGCATCTCTCAAAGTCCATTTGTAGGTAGCTGAGGTGAGGTCTAAAACCCAGGTCCCTAAGTCCTATCATTACTTACTTTTTTTTTTTTTAGTGTGAGTCTCACTGTCATCCAGGCTAGAGTGCAGTGGCATGCTCACAACCCCCACAGCCTTGACTTGCTGAGCTCAGGTGATCCTTCCACCTAGCCTTCCAAGTAGCTGGAACCACAGGTGTGTACCATGTCTGGCTAATTTTTTGATCTATTGTAGAGACAAGGTCTCATCAAGTTACCCAAGCTGGTCTTCAACCACTAGACTCAGACAATCCTCTCGCCTCTGCCTCCCAAAGTGCTGAGATTACAGGCGTGAGCCACAGCACACAGCAGCATCTATTATTACTTTGAACTTTTGGCTATAACCAGCCAAGGACTCCTCTGTCTAATGGCCCAATTACTTAAGGCTCCCTCCAAATACGTGTTAACCACTTACAAGGTTTGTAGTTCTTCTCATGACAAGGGGGGCTGTCCAGAGGCTTGCCATGCATGATGGGGTCTCCTCATCATTCTAAACAAAGAAAAATTGTTTTAAAAAAGATCCACAGAGACTAACAACAGTTTAAACCCTTTAGGTATAATTCTGCCTGAATAATATTAGACAGGCCTGAAGGAGAAGTATCTTAATGTACCCCATCCCCTACTCCTCAAAGCCTCAAGGTCAGAAGATAATCACTCTTAACAGCTCAGATATCCGAACATAGCTGAAAGCATTCCCATTGAGGACATGTGAGGTGCATATCCTCGATTCCTCTAGCTTTATGCCATTTGGCAGCTAGTCCTGTACTGTCCTTATTTCATGTTTCTTGTACATAGACTGTCAATCTTCTTCAGGGTAAGAAGAACCATATCAATGTCTTCTTTTGAACCCTGCTACTCCACAGGATTTAATAAGGCTAGGAACACTGTCTCAATCAACTCTCACCAAAAAATATCAGCCAGCTCAAGCCCTGGGGAACTGCTGTTCATTTTCACATCATTAACTTTCCCAGAGGCAGTTAGTAAATAGGAAAATATACAGTACCTTCAGATTCTCTCCATCGAGAAGGTCCATGAAGCCATCATCCTCATCAGACAAAGTGGCTGTCACAGGTGACTGGGGCATAAAAAGAGGAATGAAACTTCCTGGTTCACTGCTATCTTTTTCATTTGATGAAAGCTGTAAGACAGAATTTATAGCTTATTAATAAATGAAAACTCTGGTCCACTTTGAATTCCTTGAATGGGTCTCTAGTTTTTATGATGAAAACATATTTGTTATACAAATTAAAATTTTAGCAGTTACAGATCAAAGGAAAATGTATCCAAGATTATAAATGATTTGATGTCCACACATAGCCCTGAGTAGTCAGGCCAGATAGCCTTCACTAAGAACTCTTCCCAGAAGCAGTTCACCTAATGGAAACTGGGGATAGTCTCTTGTGAAGAACAAAGTTTCTTTTATCAGGAGGTTGTTATCAGTGAACACCAATCAACATGAAGATTTTAATAGTATGCTAACCTGCTGAAATGAGGAAAGGCAAGAAGATACAAGTCTCTATCTATAGAGACCATAAAATGGCCTTAAGAATGCACATGTAACTCCAGTTCTGACAGAGGAAAATAAAGGATGTCCTGGTTCTATAAAGTCTACCTTAGGCCAGGCACAGAAGCTCAAGCCCATGATTCCAGCACTTGGGAGGCCAAGGCAAGAGGATTGCCTGAGTCCAGGGGTTCAAGACCAGCCCGGGCAACTTGGTGAGACCTCGTCTCTACAATATATCAGAAAAATCAGCTGGGTGTGGTAGTACGTGCCTGTGTTCCAGCTACTTGGAAGGCTGATGAGGAAGGATCACCTGAGTCCAGCAGGTCAAGGTTACAGTGGCTGTGAGCAGTGTGTCATTGCACTCCAGCCTGGGTGACAGAGTGAGACTCCAACTCAAAAAACAAAACAAAATAAAACAAAAACAAGCAAACAAACAAAAAAACCAGGCACGGTGCTTCAAGCCTGTAATCCCAGCACTTTGGGAGGCTGAGGCAAGAGGATTATCTGAGTCCAGTTTGGTTTGAGACCAGTCTGGGCAACTTGGTGAGACCTCTTCTCTACAATATATCAAAAAAAACTAGCTGGGCGTGGACACATGCCTGTGGTTCCAGCTACTTGGAAGGCTGAGGCAGAAGGATCACCTGAGCCTAGCAGGTTGAGGCTGCGGTAGCTGTGAGTGTATCACTGCCCCCCAGCTTGGGCGACAGTGAGACTCCAACTCAAAATATAAAAAATAAAAAAAATAAAAAAAGGGACTTCACAGCAAATTGTATGGATTTGGAGTCAATCATACTCAGTAATCTATCACAGAAACAAAGAACAGAGTACCATATGTTCTCACTCATAAGCAGAACTTGAACAATTATAATACTATAAGAAAGTGTTTGGCAGTAATGAGAAACTGTCAGGGGAGGGGGCGTGGGATTGGCAGTTGAGGGAAACTGCTAGGGGAAGGAAGGCATACTTCATCAACAAGGGTACTTGCATAATCAATGTTTGTATACCTAACCCTGAATTGTACCCCACATCTTTATAATTAAAAAAAAGAAAAAAAATGTTGCTGGGTGCAGCGGCTCACACTTTGGGAGACAGAGGAAAGAGGACTGCCTGAGCTCAGGGGTCTGAGACCAGCCTGAGTAACATGGTGAGACCTCATCTCTACAATAAATCATAAAATTAGCTGGGTATGGTGGTGCACACCTGTATTCCTGCTTCTGCCTTACTGCTCTCCAGACAGCAAAACCACTAAGAATGCTTGACAGTCTAGTTTCAAAAGACAATGTCAAGGCAAAACAGTGAAATACTGCAGTGCCTTCAACTGTGGATTAAAGAGGGTGTTTTAATCCTCTCTTCCCATCAGGAACTCCTCTATGAAAGCCAGAGCAGCCGGCTCAGTGGCTCAGCCTGTAATCCCGTGCCTTTGGGAGGCTGAGGTGAGTGGATTGCCT